CTGCAAAGAGTATTACAGGTTTACTATTGAGTTCTCACTTTATCAAACATGTAAGGAGACAATAATATCTATCTTACATAAATTCTTTCAAAACAGAAAAAGAGGGGATACTCCTCAGCTCATTTTAACTGTATAGTATGTCTTAGATTCCTAACCTCTCAATGAAAATAAAAGAAAAAAAGAAAATTTAGACTAATCTGATTATGAACAAAAGAAAATTTAGACTAACAAAATTTAGATTATGAAGATAGAGGAATAACTTTTAAACAAATATTAGCAAACTTAGTTTGGTTGTATATGAGCAACCTGACCAAGTTGAGTTTATCCTAGGAATGAAAGGTTGTTTTTGCACTAGAAAATCAGTCAGTATATTTTATCACATTAACAGATTAGGAAAAAAAATTCAAATGAACATCTCATTGTGTGAAGACAAAGATAAAATTCAGCATTTATTCATGTTACACACTCTTAGTAAACTAGAACTTAGGAGAACTTTCTTAATCAGATAAATGGTCTTTGTCCCCCTACCCTCCTGAACAAAAAAACAGAGTATCAACCAACTGTAGTATGCTAAGACGAAATGTTGACTTCTTCCCTCCAGGTTTGGGGTACAAGGCATTGATGCCCACTATCACCATTGTTACTATTTAACATAGCACTAGAAATTCTAGCCAGTGCAGTAAGACGAGAAAGAAAGAAAAGGTACAACTGCTAAATGAAATAAAATTGTCATTACACATAGATGGTATAATTGTGTAAATGATTTAGCTATAGATTCTTTGGGTTTTTAGGAAAGTATAAAAAAAGTGACTATGAAACAATATTTAAAAAAATCAGTTCTGTTTTTATATGCTCACAAACCTTTAGACAATGAAATTAATAGCAAATGCCATTTATAATAGAATCAAAAACCAGGAAATTACTGAATTAAATCTGACAAAGAAAGTGCAAGGCTTTTAGGAGAATTTTAATGAAAGATAATGGAGAGAATATATTATATGTGAATGTATGCCTGAGTATGCGTTGTAACTTGAAAATCTATCTTTAAAAGTTTTATGCAAATATAATTATCTGGAATAATCAAGACATTCTTGTAAAAGAATAAGATCGGATGACATGGCCTCCCAGGTATTGGAACTTTTTACAAAGCCGCAATAACTAAGACTATTGTCACTGTTACAGGGAGAAACAAATAAACCAAGGGAATAGAGTAGAGATTCCATGCATGTATGGATACTTGCTCTCAGATCACTGAAGAAATGACACCTTTTAAAAAATCATTCTGGAACAGTTGAATATTCATATATGAAAAGTAAATTCAGATCTCTATTTTTTACTGTGCACAAAAAATTAAATAATAATTCTATGTGAATTAGTGACCTAAATGTGAAAGGCAAAACTTATAAAACTTTTAAAAGGCTTTACAAGATAATATAGGAGAATGCCATTATTACTTTAGCATCAGGAAAGATTTCTTAAATGGGATATAAAAAGCACTAAAGGAAAAGATTGATACATTGGACTACTTAAAATTAAGACTTGAGTTTATAAAAAGGTGCCATAAAGAGAGTGAACAGGTAGTCTCAGAGCAGCAGAAGATATTTGCAATATGCAACTGAAACATAGCCATATCCAAAATGTATGAAGAATAGTTAGTAACCTTTATTTTGGATTAGGGTAAGGGAGAGCTAGCAATGGGGAAGGAATATATAGGAGCCTCTACTTTGTTTCAGATGTTCTAATTCTTGAGAGGATAGTGTTATTTTTCTTTTCTTTCTTTCTTTTTTTGAGACAGAGTCTCACTCTGTTGCCCAAGCTGGAGTGCAGTGGCACAATCTCAGCTCACTACAACCTCCGCCTCCCAGGTTCAAGTGATCCTCCTGCCTCAGCCACCCTAGTAGCTGGGACTGCAGGATGTGCCACCATGCCCAGCTAAGTTTTGTATTTTTTTTTTTTTTTTTAGTAGTGACAGAGTTTCACCAGGTTGGCCAGGCTGGTCTTGAACTCCTGATCTTAGGTGATCCACCCGCCTCGGCTTCCCAAAGTGCTGGGATTACAAATGTGAGCCACTGTGCCCGGCCCAGTGTTACTTTTCTTTAAACTGAACATATGATTTATGAATTTATCTGCATGTAAGCACATTTCTTAACAAAAATGGAAGAAATGTAAACAACAAATACATTTATTGATTATATTAGTTTGCTAGGCCTGCCTTAACAAAATTTAACAAACTGGGTTGCTTAAACAACAGAAATTCACTTTCTCACATTCTGGAGGCTACAATGCCAAGATCAGGATGTCAGCAAGTTTGTTTTATCCTGACACATCTGTCTTTGGCTTGCAGATAACCACCTTCTCTCTGTCCTCACATAGTCTTTCCTCTGGGGACATCCCTGGTGTCTTTAGTGTGTCCAAATTTCCTCCTCTTATAAGGACACCAGTCGGATTTCAATAGTGCCCATTCTAAGGGCTTCATTTTATTTTAGTCACTGCTTTAAAGGCCTTGTTTCCAACTACAGTCACATTCTGAGGTATAGGGGTTAGGGCTTCACCATATGAATTTTGGGGACCCATAACACTGATTATGTAGTAAAGATCTGGGATAGCAAATGGGTTCCTGTGATTTGGATAAAAATTTTAAAGCCAATTTTTGGATTCAAAAAGTGTTAAATCTAAAAAAATCTAAGACAGAAGTAAAGATGTACTCTAGAGAACAGTGTTAAGTGACTCAAAATATGGATTTAGTGCTGATGATGTTAATTATGCATGTGTGAACTTGGAATACAGTTGTTTTTTTGAAAATGTAAAAGTGATAAAAAGCAATTTCTAGATTAAAGTTTTTTACTACTGTATTTTACATAAATACTTTAAATATAAATGTATACCCAAATGAATAAATGTAATATTATAAGTAGATCTTTTAGTCTCATCTCCATCCTTGACATTTATAAATTGTCGTTGGCCAAAAATTATTTTAAAATCTTTTCACTGGGAGAGGAGTGGTTGGATTTTAGTTGGTCATAGATGGTAATTTTAGTACAGTAAGCTCTGCTATAATGCAATATGTGCATTCCTAAAAATCGCTTCACTCTGTAAAACCATGGATTAAAACCACAGGGTTTACTCAGGGAAGGGGGGCACAGCACTCAGAAACTTTGTCTGTGATGCTTAAGAGGATAGGAACTTAATAAAAACAGCAGCAGTCTTTTATAAATGTTAAATGATTAAGAAATCATACTATGATAAACATGGCACTTTACCTCAAAAAAGACCTGGAGTTTTCTTATGGAAGTGAGCATCAGGAAGGTTGCAGAATGTGAATTATCGTCAAGTGATGGAAGGGGAGGGTCTGTGAAATTGGAGGGAAAGTTGTAATAGTAGATGTGAGTGGGTGTGGCTCATAGCATGGAAAATAAACTGAGGTGGCTGGTAGATGGTTGATGGGTGAGTGTGTTTTGTATATTCCTGCATATTTTGGTTCATCTGGATATAATTTTTTTGTGTTTAGGATTTTTTTCACAGACAAAATCATGCATAAGAAACAATTATTGCTATGGTCAAACTGATGTTTAATGTATCAATTATATTGAAACAAATATGTGTTTTTAAATAGCATTAATGTAAAATTTAATTAATTTTTTATATCATCCACAGGCCTATCATTTAGGTTTTATATGTTTTATAACCATTCTGAATTGGGTTCTTTTTACTGAAGTTTTGAAATTATTGCCTAATATTTGTCCGCTACATAATGTTTTAAGTGTCTTGCTGAATTCTAAGTTTCTCTAGACTAATGAATAAGTAATGTGGATGTGGAATCAGATTTTTACCTAAGTATACACACAGAAAAGTAATAGTTCTTTTGTCTCAAGCAAGCATACTATCCTCTGGTGGCCTTCCTATTTTTGAAGTTGCTATTAAGATACTTTAATCCTTACCATGAATCAGTATAAAAGAAAGCATGTAGATGGTTGTGTTTGGGTGTCCTTCTCATCCACGTGGTGCTTTTATTTTCTGTGGTTGTTTTATTCCACATCTTAGCAAGAGCAGGTTTCCAGGAGAAGTCTCAGTTCTCTAGTTTTCTCTCCTTCCTCTAGTGTGATTGGTTGGTAACAGTGAGAGTGAATGAAATGCTTCTCGTTTTCCTGTCCTCCTACCACAGTATCTTTGGTTTACTTTCAGGACTGTCATTTTCAATCTCTGAGCCAGAAGACCTGCCTTTCACTCACAGCATTTCAATTCCTCCCTTCAATCTAGGCATTCTTTTATGTTTCTACAGTACTCTGCATGCATCGCTGTTATAGAATAGATCATATTGCTTTGGAGTTTTGCAAAATTGGGCTCTCTTTCTAAATAACCTCCGTACTTCTTAAGGCATGGACCATATTTTTATCATTTATACATTTCTGTTGTATAACACAGTGCTTGACAGTGGTGGTTGGATGACTGGATGGAAGAATGAATGAAGTAGGCTTGAAGAGAACTGTTCTTATGATCCTGTTATATATGATTTACCTTCATTTTGACTATGTTAATAATTTCTAGATCTCTTGGTCACTTGAACTTTAATAATATGAATCATGCTTGTGTATGCAAACTTTTTAGCAGAAAAATAATAAAATTCATTTTGTAGACCAAAGATTGTACAGCCATCTGTGTTTTGTTTTGGGTTTCTTTTTCTTTTCTTTTTTTTCTTTTTGGCTAAAATACGTTCAAAAAACAAACAAGGCTAACTTGCAATTCTAAGAGGAGTTTTAATGCAATAAAGGAGTAAATTTCTATATTTTTCAGCTTGCTATTGTAAATTAAAATACCTATTTTTGAAATTTTCAAGTATTTATACATTGATTTAAATAGAACAAGTTTAAAAGAGGAGAGATATTTCTTTTAAGAAATAAGGAAGATGTGTTATGGCTCAATTCTTGATTATTATTGCAACTGTAAGCAATATAAGCAACTCTGAATTGTTTTTAAGGTTTTCTTTTTATTTTCCTTTATAGGACCTCTTTGTTGTTAGACATGAATTGGCCATAATGAGACTAGCTGCCTTTATGGGCATTACTATGTTAGTTGGAATAACTGGACTTTTTTACACTCAACTAATTGGCATCATCACAGTAAGTATATTTTTAATGTAAAGTAACATTTATGAATATATTACCTAATTCTGAATGTAATTCTAAAAGTTATAGGAAGTTTAGAAATCAAAGGAGAAAATTACCCATGCTTTTTAATACTTTCATATGACTGTGCAATTTTAAAGTAGTTATAATCAGGTACAAAGTACATATAATTTTCTATCCTGTTTTTAAAAATTAACAAAATAGTATTTTTATATGACTGTAGGCATCATATTTGTAGTTTTTATTGATACACAATGTATTACATATTTATGGGGTACATAGGAATATTTGTTACATGCGTATAATATATAATGATCAAATCAGTGTTTGGAGTCTCCATCACCTTGAGTATTTATCATTTCTATATGTAATGAACATTTCAAGTCCTCTTGACTAGTTACTTTAAAATATACACTGTTGCTGACTGTAGTCACCCCACTGTGCTACTAAGCATTATAACTTATTTCTTCTAACTGTATGTTTATAACCATTACCTATATTCTCTTCATCCCCTGTTTCTACCCATGCCCCCTTCCCAGCCTCTGGTATCTATCATTCAGTTCTTGACCTCCCTGAGATCAGCTTTTTTGGCTCCCACACATGAGTGATAAAATATTGTATTTGTCCTTCTGTGTCCGGTTTGTTTCACTTAACATAATGACCTCCAGTTCCATCCATGTGGCTGCAAATGACAGAATTTCATTCTTTTTATGGCTGATACTATTATTCCATTGTGTATATGTACCAATTTTAAAAAATCCATTCATCTGTTGATAGAAACTCAAGTGATTTCATTTCCTTGCTATTGTGAGTAGTGCTGTGATAAACATGTAAGTGCAGGTATCCCTTTGATAATACTGATTTTTTTCTTTCCTTTGGATAAATACCCATTAGTGGATTGCTGGATCTTACAGTAGTTCTATTTTTAGTTATTTGAGACTTCTCAGTATTGTTTTCCTTAGTGATTTTACTAATTTACATTCCCACCAACAGTGTACAAGTTCTCTTTTCTCTGCATGTTTGCCAGCATCTGTTACTTTTTGTCCTTTTAATAAAAGCTGTTCTAACTTAGGAAAGATGATTTCTTATTGTGGTTTTGACTTGCATTTCCCTGTTGATTGATGATGGTGAGTACTTTTCATATACCTGTTGGCTGTGTATATATCTTCTTTTGAAATATGTTATTCATATCCTTTGCCCACTTCTTAATGGTATCTTTTTTTTATTGTTAAGTTGAATCCTTGTATATTCTGGACATTGTCCCATGTCAAGCAAATAGTTTACAAGTGTTTTCTCTTATTCTACAGGTTGTCTCTTCCTTCTGTTGATTGTTTACAGCTTTTTAATTTAATAAAGTCCCATTTGTCTGTATTTGTTGTCAGCACTTTGAGGTCTTAACCCTAAAATTTTCATCTAGACCAATGTCCTGAAATATTTTTCCTAAGTTTTATTCTAGTACTTTGGCAGTTGTAGGTTTTATGTTTAAGTCTTTAATATATCTTGAGTTGGTTTCTGTATATGGTGAGAGATGGGGTCCAGTTTCATTCTTCATTTTTATGCATATGGATATCCAATTTTCCCAGCACTTCCCATTTATTGAAAAGACTGTTCTTTTGCCAGTGTATGTTCTTGATGCCTTTGTCAAAAATCAGTTGGCTATAAATATGTGAATTTATTTCTAGATTCTCTATTCTGTTCCCTTGGTCTATGTGTCTGCTTTTATACCAACACCATGCTGTTGTGGTTACTATAGCCTCATAATATATTTTGAAGTCAGGCAATGTGATGCCTCCAGCATTGTCCTTTTTGCTTAAGATTGCTTTGACTATTCGGGCCCTTTTTTGACTTTATACAAATTTTAGGATTATTTTCTCTAACTGTGAAAAATGATGTTGGTACCTTGATAATGATTACATTGAATCTGTAGATTGCTCTGGGGAGTGTGGTCATTTAACAATAATAATTCTTCTGATCCATGATCATGGTATATCTTTCCTTAATTTGTCTCCTCCTTTAATTTCTTTCATGAGTGCTTTGCAGTTTTCCTTATAGGGATCTTTTACCTCCTTGGTTAAATTTATTCTTACAGTGTTGTTTTTGGAGCTATTGTAAATGGGATTGTGTTTTTTATTTCTTTCTCAGCTGGTTTATTATTGGTGTATAGAAACACTACCGATTTACTGATTTTTGTATGCTGATTTTGTATCCTGTGACTTTACTGAATTTATCAGATTGAAGAGCTTTTTGGTAGAGCCTTTAGGTTTTTCTTGATATAAGATAATATCATCAACACAAAAGGCATAGGTGGCCTTTATTATGTTGTAGTACATTTCTTCTAAGTTTGTTGTGAGTTCCAATTCCTTCCTCTTCAATTTTTTGAAATAGTTTGAAGAGAATTGGTGTTAGTTCTACTTAATTTAAAATTTGGTGGAATTGGCAGTGAAGCTCTCCGGGTCCTGAACTTTTGTTTGTTGGGAGACTTTTTATTACTACTTTGATATTATTACTTTTTATTGGTTTGTGCAAGTTTTCTGTTTCTACACAATTCAATCTTGGCAGGTGTATGTGTCCAGGAATTATCTTTTACTCTACGTCTTTCAGTTTGTTGATATATGTTTGTTGGTAGTAATCTTTGATGATCTTTTGTATATCAATGGTATCAGCTGTAATGTCTCCTTTTTCATTTCTAATTTTATTTACATGGGTATACTTTCTTCTTAATTAGTCTTGTTTATTTATTCACTTGTTTGTCTTTTCAAAACACCAACTTTTTGTCTTGTTGCTTCTTTGCATATTTTTTAAGTCTCTTTTTCTTTTACTTCTGATCTGATCTTTGTTATTTCTTCTACTAGTTTTGGGTTTGATTTGTTCTTGCTTTTATGGTTCCTTGAAGTGCATTGTTAGACTATTTACTTGATTATCTTTCTACTGTTTTGATACACTAACTTATTACTGTAAATTTCCCTCCTAGCATTGCTTTTGTTGTAGTCTGTAGGTTTTGGTATGTTTTGTTTTCATTTGCTTCCAGAAAGTGTTTGATTTCCTACTCAGTTTCTTCCTTGACTCAATGGTTGTTCAGAAACATGTTACTTAACTTCCATTATTTGTATAGTTTCCAAAGTTCCTCTTGTTATAGATTTTTAGTTTTATTTCACTGTGGTTTGAGAAGATACTTGATACAATTTATATATTTTTTTCATGTTATTTGAGACTTGTTATTTGTCCTAACCTATGGTCTGTCTTGGAAAATGTTCCATTTGCTGATGAGAACAATGTGTATTCCGCAGCTGTTGGATGAAATGTTTCGTAAATATCTGTTAGGTCCAGTTGGTCTAGAGAGCAGTTTAAATCTGATGTTTCTTTGTTAACTTTTTCACTGGATCTGTCTAAAGCTGAGAATCTTGTGTCCAAGTCCTCAACTATTATTTTATTAGAGCCTATCTTTCCCTTTAAATCTAAAAGTTGGTTTATATATCTGAGTACTCTGGTGTTGGGTGCATATTTAGAGTTGTTATATCTTCTTGCTGAATTGATCCCACTATCATATAATGGCCTTCTTCATCACTTCTTACTATTTTTAACTTACAGTCTGTATATCTGATATAAGTATAGCTAACTATTCCAGCTTACTTTTGGTTTCTGTTTGCATGGAGTATCTTTTTCTGTCCCTTTACTTTTAGTCTATGTGTGTTTTTACAGGTAAGATGAGTGTCTTGTAGGCAGCATATTGTTGTGTTATGTTTGTTTGTTTTAATCCATTCAGAAAGTCTATATGTTTTAAATGCGGAATTTAATCCATTTTCTAAAGATTATTATTGATATGTGAGAGCTTACTCCTGTCATTTTATTGATTTCTGATTGTTTTATATATCCTTTGTAACTTTTTCTCTCTTTCATTGTTTATCATTGTGGTTTGGTGGTTTTCTTTAATGGTAACATTAGAGTTCTTCCTCTTCCTTATTTGTGTGTTGGCTCCACCAATGGGTCTTAAATTTATTTATTTATTTATTTTTGAGACAAAGTCTCGATCTGTCGTTAGGCGCCAGGCTAGAGTGCAGTGGGTTGATCTCGGCTCACTGCAACCTCTGCCTCCGGGGTTCAAGCAGTTCTCCTGCCTCAGCCTCCTAGGTAGCTGGGACTACAGGCACCTGCCACCATGCCTAGCTAATTTTTGTATTTTTAGTAGAGACAGGGTTTCACCATGGATGGTCTTGATCTCTTGACCTCATGATCTACCCACCTTGGCCTCCCAAAGTACTGGGATTACAGGTAATGAGCCACTGCGCCTGGCCTTAAATTTATTTTTTATTAAAAAAAAATTGAGATAGAGTCTTGCTGTGTTGCCTAGGCTAGAGTGCAGTGGTGTTATCTTGGCTCACTGCAACCTCTATCTCTCAGGTTCAAGCAATTCTTGTGCCTCAGCCTCCCAAGAGTGGGATTTATACTTCCCTGTGTTTTTATGATGGTAGCCATCATCCTTTTGTTTCCAAGTATAGGACTCTCTTAAGCATTTCTTATAGGACCAGTCTAGTGGTGATAAAGTCCCTCAGCTTTTGCTTGCTATCACCTGCCTTTTTCTTTTATTTATGAAGGATAATTTTGCTGGAAATAATATTTTTGTCTGAAGGTGTTTTTTTTTCTGCACTTTGAATAATTATCCCATTTACTCCTGGCCTATACAGTTTCTCCCGAGAAATCCACTGTTAGTCTGATGGAGATTCCCTTATATGTGACTTGATGCTTTTTTTCTTGCTGTTATTACAGTTCTCTCTTTGTCTTTGACTTTTGATAGTTTGATTGTGATGTACCAGAGGAGACCTTTTTGCATTGTATCTGTTTGGGGATCCCTTAGCTTCCTATACCTAGATGTCTAGATCATTTGCTAGACTTGAGAAGTTTTCAGCTGTTATATCCTTAAGTAGATTTTGTAGGTTTTTTGTTTTCCCTTCTTCTTCTGGGACACTAAAAATTATTTGGTCACTTTATGGTGTTCA